AAATAGGAATTATTCCTATTACCCACCCCCCGCACATCGCGGCTCTCCGGGATCCGGCCAAGAGGCCGCAAACAAGACAGGTGCCTCTCCCTGACTGGCTGTTCGATTTCGATCTCAATGCGGTTCTGCCCCTCTCGACCTCCAAATTATACGGCAATTTGTCAGGTGCTAGGCTGCGAGTCCTGTTGGATGATGAGGTGTGCACGGAGCTGCTCGGCTCCGCCACGCAACAACCGGCCGGCGCCCTCCTGCCCAGTGCCGTGCTAGAGGGGTGCAGGCAGAACATGTCAGCGTAGGGCCAGTGATCTGGGCGAGTGAACGCAGGCACCGGGTCAACAAACTCATCCGCGCTGGGCCCAAAGTGTTGCCCCCAGACGGAGGCAGGCGAGGCTGATGGGGCAGAGCATACCAGTGCGACCCTTCGGATCCAGGCAAGCTGGGGTAGCAGCAGGCGCGTTGGCAGGAGCAACAGCAGCGGCAGGTGCAAGCAGCGGGGGCCATCCCCAGGCACAGTGGCAGGGGCTTCAGGGGCAGGGCCAGAGTCGCCCAAGAACACAAAGCCAGACTCAGCGGCAACGGGCCAGCGACAGGCTCAGTAACCACGGCATTGTAAAGTTGCCTGTGCAGAGCAGCGTCCTTGGAGAGCCGATGGCACGGAGAAAAAGAGGCCCCAGAGTGCGTCGTCATCCAGGGAGACGAGTTTCTGCAGCCAGGCAGACGAGGTAGCCGAGGCGGGCGATGAGAGCGGGGAATGTTTGAAAGCAAGGAGGGCGCTGCGGCACACAAGGTCAAGCTCCAACAAGCGAGTCAGACCAGGGTGCACAGAGCAAGCAGAACAGTGCCAACCTGAGGCAGAAACAAGGCCCACAGGGTCAGGCAGGCCGTGCACAAGAAGTAAGGCCCAGGCCCAGCGCCAACACCAGCATCAGACCTGCAACAAGCACGTTGCGGCTGGGATGGCAGGAAGACTGCGCTGCACCTCGGCGTGGCCGGCAAGGAAGGCTCAGACCTGGCAGGGCCATGGAGGCGGCCAGACAGAATAGAGGTGCACCTGGTGGTGAGAGAGGGGCAGAAGCCATGGTGTCAAGTTTTTGAGCAGGCAGCACGTCCAACAGAGGCAAGAAACTATCAAAGTTCAAAACACATAAGCTGACCAGAAGCGTGAGGCTGATGGCTGCAGGCAGGCAGAAGGTGGTTACTTGCAGGCACAGCCTTCCGTTGCGTCTGCATGCCAAACACACAGATACACATACAAAATCGCACCGCGAGCCCGCTTTCGCTGCGCGACTGTCTGCATCCTTGGAGGGCCGCGGCTCGCTACTACCTGCCTTGGACTCCCTTCGCGTGGCCAGCCACTCCTTGTCCGCTGCAGGTTTTGATTTGCCCGCATGGCAAGATTTGTCGCGCATGCCTGCCCCCCACAGCATGATGATGACCTAGGCACCGACGTCACACGTGGTTGGCAGCGATTCGCGTTCCCGTGCCATTGACGACTTCGCTGACCGGACCGGCCGACGCGAGCTCGGCCCAGCATCGGCCGCCATGCTTGATTCCCAGGCTGGCCCACATGCAGCGCGCGTTTTACAGCCCGCCCCACCTCGCACCGGCAACTGAGAGGGTTGCTGCGTCAACTGCCTGCGCCTCTGCTTGCGTCCCGTTGCGAAGCACGAGCGCTCTGGCCACAGCAGCCGCGGCTGCTTCGCATGCGAGACTGGCTGATCCTGCCGGTCTCTCCGTCTGTCTTCCTGCTTGTGTTTGCATCACCGGGCCTGCAGCTTTTGAAAGCAGGCGGTCGACGCCACCATCGTCAGCCCTGTCACCCGTACCGGTGAGCCGCACATGCCGCAACCCGGCGCCGATGTGCACCCCGGCCGGGCCCTTGACGGAGCAGCCCGCCGTAAGAGACGCCACACATACCCCGAGCTCGTGCGCGCGGAGGCTGGTTTGGGGCCGAGGCAGCAACCTGGTTGCGGCTTCTGGCACGGCATCGCGCAAGCCTGCAGCGCAATCGGCCTGGGTCGCCAAGTGGTCGGGCTTGCTGGCGGTCGCTTCCCAGAGTGCCTTTGTGCCTTTGCAGCCTCGCTGCTGGAGCTCCCCTTGGCCGGGGAGTGTAATGTGGGTGGGGAGACCCAGACCTCAGCGATGTGCTTGCGGACGACCGCTGGCAGCTCCCCGTCCCCGCCAGCCGGCTGGGGCCCCGTTAACATTTCCCTGCACTGGGAAGCACTGAGACCGCAAAAAGGAAGATTTTTGTCTGTGAGTGAATGCGCTTGCGTTGCATGCTTTCTCTTTGCATCCATGTTGCACATGCTTGCCCTGCAAGACTCTGGTTGCTTCTCTGAACGTTGTGGCCGAAACGTTTTCCCTTGTCCGTGTCCGTCAGTGGCGCTCTCGCTCCGCCCCGCCTGGCTTGCCTGCTGAGATGTCCCCTGTTCACACCTGAGGCTACTGAGGCTGGGTGTTGGGCAGTTTGCACTGCTGCCTCTGCCTCGCGGTCCCTCAGCGCACACAACTTTAGAACACCTTCTATAAGGCTTCTGGCAACTCTGTAAGCCTTGTATAAAGTCGCGGAAGCCTTTGGAACCCATTCGCCTTCACAAACAGGCTGAAAACCCGTGAGCCTATGAAAGCCGTCACAACCACAGAATAACACCCTTAAAGCCCAGCGCTAAACTGCAATGCCCGTTCCTTTCTGGGCTTCATACAATTCTGCCCTAGATATTCTATCTATCTGTTTGGTACCTTTATAAGCCCCCCATACAGCGCTATACAACCTTCAAATGTTCTATCTATCCGTTTGGTCCCTTTTTGGTCCCCCAATGACACTGAGAAAGCTTCCCTGAGGTTCATACAGACCCTCCAGAAAACCTAGTAAAATTCAATATACTTTTTTTTTATACAAGTTATGAAGGACTTGTAGCACTTCCACACGGTTGTAAAACAGCTTCCATAAGCCCTCTAGCAACCCTCTACGTCTGTAAGCCCTGTATAAAGTTGCATTGCGACCGCAGGGGGGGAACATTAAAGGTGTCCGTCCACTCACCCCACTCGCCCCATTCGCCCCACTTGCCCCACTTGCCCAACTGGGGCGAGTGGGGCAAGTGGGGCAAGTGGGGCAAAGGTTCGGTTTTGGGGGGCTCAAGTGGCTTGTGTGGAGATTCCAAAGCAGGGGTCGAGGGGACCACATTTAGGGCAGAAGTGGGGTAAGTGGGCCAAGCGAAGCAAGTGGGTCAAGTGGGTCACATGGAGCGAATGCAAGCAGAACCGGGGTTCGTTTCGGGGCCCTCACATCGGGGAGAAGTGGGGCAAGTGGGCCAACTGAAGCACGTGGGGCGAGCGGGGCAAGTGGGTCAACCAAGTAAAGTGAGTCAAGTGGGGCAAGTGGGCCACGTGGGGCAAGTGGGTCAAGTGGGGCAAGTTGGTCAAGTGGGGCAAGTGGCCGCAGAACGCCGACGCTCTCTAAAGACTCTTGTGTTGCGCAAGCTTTTGGAACCCTTTAGAAGATCTTCAGAAACCTTTTGGAGCCCTAGCAAAACTTGTTAAAAGACCATGGACGTATGTAAGTCTTCGATACCATTGTATAACCCCTCTAAAGCCCAGCCCTAATTAAGCTACAATGCCCGTTCTCTTTGGGCTCCATACAATTCTGCCCCAAATATTCTATCATATTCTATCTATCCGTTCGGCACCTCTATAAGCCCCCCATACAACGCCTATACAACCTTCAAATGTTCTATCTATCCGTTTGGTCCCTTTTTGTCCCCAATGAAACTTTAGAAAACATCCCTGAGGCCTTTACAGACCCTCAAGAAAACTCTTTATTAACCTTGTATATTACTTCTATAATCTTCTATACAAGCTATGCATCCGTGCTCAAGCTTTTCATAAAGCTTTGAGAATCCTCTACGTTTCGAAGCCCGGTGTGAAATTGTGCAAATCTTTGTGTAAAACCTCCTCAGAAAACATCTTGAACCCTTTGCAAACCTCTCCAACAAGGGGTCATGAGAGGGCCCCTGCCCCCTCTCATAACCCCTTTATAAAGCTTCGCTAGGCCTCCCTTCAAATCCAGCAATAGGTTTGAGGGCTCCATTTTCGGGTCAATAAGATTTTCCCCAAATATTCGGTCTATTCGATTGCGAAAACACATTTCCTTTTGAACAATTGCGGATTCTATTCACTTTAGGATGAATATATCTCTAACGGAAATAAAGCTACATCAAGGGAGTTGGGAGTCGTCGTCGCCTATTGCCGTGGTTCGCAATGAAGTGCTGAAACGCCAATTCAAGTGGTTGGGACGTCCGTGCTAAAAGGATTCCTGCGGTGCTCACAGGGCTCTTGTTGCGTGGGTCTTCGCCGTACCTGGGCCAACGTGCTTCTCTTGGGCCATGGAGGTTGTCGATGGTATGCGGGGCTGTAGCGTCAATGCGCACCATTCGCGGGTTCTGTTGCTGCGTTACGTGTGCCCTGCCTTGGCTCAGCACTTCTTGCGAAGTTTTGTGCATGTG